TATATCACAGTTCTGTATGTATAAGTAAATAAATCTTTAAAAAAAAAAAAAAAGTTGGTAGAATGCGATAGTAAAGCAATCTGGTCTTGGGTTTTTGTTTTTTGGCATACTTTTAGATTACCATTTCATTGTCCTTAGTTATAATTTATTTGTTGACGTTTGCTCTTTCTTCCGGATTCAGTCCTGCAGTGTTACATATGTTTTTAAGAATTTTTGTTTCTTCTGAGTTGTTTATTTTGGTGACATGTGGTTGTTAGTATTGCTTTCTTATGATCCTTCTTATTCTTTATGATTTTATTTATTTTGTGTTCTCTGTGTGAGTTTGGCTAATTAAAGTTTGCCTTGGGTAGTTTTTTTAGGGGATTTTTGCTTGGTAGAAAATTTTAATTTGGGGGGAGGTCTAATTTCCTAAACATACCCATCCAGAAGTAATGTTTCCTGTGTGGTATGTGAAGATGCTAGTGATCTAGATACAACATTTGTGCCATCCCATGCACTTTTCTTTATAGACCTAGCCTAGTTCTTCATTGTCTTCTCTTGGAATTGTACCTTATTTTATTGCCAGTTTTTATTCGAATCCATACAATGAGTCTGCTTTGTTACTTCACCAGGAATTGCTTAATCCTTAAAGTCTCTTAAGAAAATACAGTAAGGTGTAGTCATATGCACACAACTCAGAAGTGCAGAAAAGGATGCTTGGTTTACTTTCTATTCATAGTAAATTTTGAAATCTGGGAATGTCATTTCTCCAAAATTTTTTGTTAGATATTTAAAATTTTTATTTTGTTTTCTATTTTAGTAATTTTTACTGTTTGCTTCCTTCCTTCCTGATAGTTTCTCCTGCTTTCATTTTTAAGAATAAAGTATCATATTTATCTTTTCCCTTTCATATATAAATATTTTAAAGCACCAAAAGTCTCTCTTAAGTACAGCTTACAAATTTTTATGTTGTATTTCCTGTTTTATGATTTTTGTATGTAGTTTCTATTTTTGATATTTGCATTACTTACAAATGTTTTTGCTTCCAGATAATCTTCTTAGGTAGCTTATTTTTAGCTTAAATAGCTTATTATCCTGTTGTGACCAGAAACATACGCATTATTCAGTTTGTTTTTTCAAATTCATAGGACCTGGTTATAGTTCATCTGTATGGTCTGTTTTGGTAGATGTACTATGTCCACTTGAACTTTTATTCTGTAGCTATGTGCAATGTTCTATAAATGTTAATTAGTTTACGGTGACTGTTAATCTTGTTTAAAAATTCTCTATCTTAATATGCATCAGTCTCTTCTCAGGGCATATAGTGTCTTGTTTTTTAAAGATTTATTCATTTATGCAAACTGAACTGGGGTACAGGCCAGAGGTGTAGGGGTGGTGAGAGGATTCACCAGAGACAGAGTGGGGAGCAGAACAGGCAGATCCATAAAGTACACTGCTGAGGGGAGCAGTGGGCTAGACAGAAGAAATCTGTCACTCCATGTGTGTTACCTCCCTGGTTGGGAGTCAAACTTGAGCTGGCTGCAGCCAGCATCCCAGTGTTGCACTTCAACCCTTTGCGCCACCAGGGAGGGCCCCTGTAGTAGGATTCTTTTTAGTTAATGTAAAATTCTCTCCCTTTTATTTGAATTTTAGTCCAATTTAATTAGAATATTTCAGTTTATTGTTGTATTTGGATTTATGATATAGTTACGTATACTCTTTTACTATTTGTGCTGTTTGTGCAGCTGTTTTTGGTCTTTAACATTGTTCCTCTGCTCTTCCTTTCTCTTAAATTAACTTTTTTTTAAGAATTGCAGTTTTTCTATTGGCTTTCAGCAATTCCTTTTTGCATTTTTGTATAACCTCTCCTAGATTATAACCATTTGCAATCTACTTTAGAGTTAATGGACTTGTTAAGTATAAAAACCTTGACACTGTATGGTTACAGGCTTCCCTCAGTCTTTTATAGCTATGGAGATTTATGTCATATGTATTGTACATGTAATATATATAAGCTGCATGGTGTTAATAACTTTTACTATAAGCGAGGCATGTATACTTGTGTTTCATGAAGCTTAAATTTTCTCATATTTACCTATGTTACTATTATTTCTTTTAAAAGATTTGTTTATTTATACATGCAAGAACTGGGGTGTAGGCCAGAAGTATGGAGGTTGAGAGGATTTACTAGAGCCAGAGTAGGGAGCAGAACAGGTGGATATACAGAAATACACAACTGAGGTGAGCGGCGGCAAGACAGGTGAGGTCTGCTGTACCATGTGGTTTCTCTCCCTGGCCAGGGATTAAACTCATGTTGTAGTGGTTGGCCATAGCTTGACAGCATTGTGCCTTTAAACACTGCACAGATATAAATCCCTTTCTAAGCCAGAAAAGCTCTAGCACTTTAATACTGTGACTCGTGATGATTTCTCTACTTTCTTTTATCTGGTATTATCATTAATTTTCTTTCATTACTAAATTGCATTTCTGTTGAATATAGTAGGTTGTCTTGTATGTTGATTTCTTTTTTCTTTATTGACTTTATTAAAGACAACTTTATTAAACTATAAAAAACAACTTTATTAAAGTTTTCCGTCCACTGTTCTGACTTTCATTTTTTTATCCCAAGTATGTCAGCCAGTGTTCAGGTCTTCTCTTTACATAGCCAATTACTTTTTTCTTGCTGCCCTCAGGATTTTCCCCTTTATGTTCATTTTCAGCTGAGTAACATAGTGTGTCAAACTACTTTTCCTTGTATTTGCCATACCTGGGAGGCTCATTCATGGTCAGAGAACCAAAACTGATGCTGCACAAAACCAGGAACCCCAAACTGTTAAGGGGTAAACACATGTTGCCTATCCCAGGGGTTTAAAGACATGCATGAGTAAACTAATCAAACTTTAATGTACTCAAGAGATTTTTTTTTTTTAATGGTAATAGAGAATAAGAGAAAGGGTAGGGGAAAGAGGATTTCAGCATAGTCTCCTGATCAAACTGTGACCTAAAGTTTAGCCAAACTCTGATATTACCCACCCCCCTTTCTGGGCACCAGTTCTGCTAAACAAGCAAGACCCATGAACATAGCTGCCAGGAGAATGAATCCAAGGAACTTTCTGGCAGGCACATCAAGCAGGGCCCGGAGAGGATAAGGCCAAAGTTCAAAATGGACCATTAAAGTTTAATCTACCAGAGGGCCAAGGTGACAGCTTCCACAGTCTCTGAAGAGAGACATGTCCCACTTGCCAAAACACTAAAGCTGCCCTAGCAAGAGTGAATGAGTGAACACACACACATTCAGTGTTACAAGTCCAGTTTGGCCCTTCATCTGTGTGCCTAGTTCCCAGTGGCCCCTGCATTAAGGAAGTCTGACTCATGGCATGCTGGGAGTTGTGGTGTTCAGTGTCTGAAATGGGCGTGACGTGGAATTGGGAGTCCAGAAAGCTCCAGCTTGGCTATGAGCATTGTGCCCCACCAACCTGCCTGCCAGGCAATTTGATTAAAAGCAAGGTATAAGTAAATTATAAGTCATAACAGGGTAATAATAATTTGTTGGAAACCAAAACCAAAAAATATCCTTCTAGTAAATAAGGAGATTAAATACGCATAAAGCAAGATGATCAAAGTTTGAACTCTAAAAACAGCTATCCATAAGTTACAAAATCAGTTTAATCTGAGGACCAGCATTTACAAAAAGAATGTACTTTTTAAATTAGAAACTATCAGAAGCTAACACTTACCATCCTGTGAAACACCTATGTCAGTTGTGTGTGTGTCCTAGTTGCTAAGGTGAAGTACAGTTCTTAACTGTGATCATAGTACAACAAGTTGAGTACTTGTAACATTTGCCTTTGGGTTCCTAACTTTTACCTGGGCGGTATTTGAATCTTCTAGGGAATTAGGTATGTTAGATCAATTTTAGTATTTTGTTGTTGAACTCTTATCATTACTTTTGTACAGTGATCAAACTTTAGTGTACTCAGCTATTTTAATCTGTGAATAGAGAGTGAGAGAGAAGGTAGGGGAAAGAAGGATTTCAATATCTCTTGATCAAACTGAAGTCAGAGTTGGAAGGAGAATTATTATTTTTTCCTTGGATACCTCATCCTGTGATGTTTAAATTAGATGTTTAAATGCTAATCTTCCCAATCTAATACAGTATTCAACTTGTTGTACTATGATCACAGTCAAGAACTGTACTTCACCTTAGCAACTAGGACACACACACAACTGACATAGGTGTTTCACAGGATGGTAAGTGTTAGCTTCTGATAGTTTCTAATTTAGAGTTTAGACTCTTGGATCATTTTGTTTAGAGTTTAGACTCTTGGATCATTTTGCTTTATCTGTGCTTAATCTTGTTTGGTTTTGGTTTCCGAGAAGCTTTTATTATGACTGTCAATTCTACCTTGTTACAGAAGTTGGGAAGCGTCCTGGTAGTGGTTCGAACTTTATTTAGAAAAGCAAAAGTAATAGAAGTATGATTCCTTGTGTTTTCTAAATTGAGAAAAGAAATTTGGATAAAGAACTTCCCTCCAACCGCTAGTTACTTAAAAACAAACTATATATTTTAAATATGCTAGAGTATTGAATGAGCAGAGTATTTAATATACTCAGTGTTAAAAAAAAACTTGATAAAAAGCTAATTTGATTAATAGAAATGATAAGTCTAAAACATTTTTTTAAACATAAATATTGGATCATAATGTCTTGTCAGGATTAGTGTTTGGATTTCGCCACCCCATCCTCCCTCCTCTGTATAAGTGACCAAAGTTCTCTTCTATTTTCTTCTTACCCACCTCTCACACTATTTTATAATGTGAACTAGAGAACATAAGAGATTTCCTCACTGAATGTGGGTAACCCTGATAAATACAGCTCTCCTTTGTTCTATATTTTAACAATCTAATAATAAAGACCCAGTAAAATCTTACTAGGTAACTAATAATCAACACATTGAGAGTATGACATGACATATAATATGCAGCAGTGTTAAATGAATATCGTTTTCTTTCTTTTTGTAGAACACAAAGTAATTATAGTGGGACTGGATAATGCTGGGAAAACCACCATTCTTTATCAATTGTAAGTATGGGTGTCTATTTAAACAATTTTTATATTTTTTTATTGGAACCAATTTTGTATAATTAATGAAATAATATAATGGGGAATTTTAAATGTGGTTTTATTGATATGTTTTGCCATACATAAAAGTTATTAAAAAGGGGATAAAATAAATTGCTGTATGTTTGCAAAGTCTTCAAAACTTTTTTCTGACCATGAAAGAAAGAATTAATATTAAACTAAAAACAAGCATATATTGCCGTATTGGACTGAGATGGTAAGTACATTTCACTTAGTTCACCCACTCTGAGGCTCATGTGAATAGATTGCTATCTCTAGGATACTATCTCTATTCTCCTAATAGCTCTGGAATTGTTTAACATAGCCAGACTTGTCAAATCAAAAGAAATTATTTTACCTCTGAAAATACTGCTTTAGCAGCTTGCAACAGCAAGAAGCTTAAGGCTTTCAGAGAAATATATTAATCCTTTAAGAAAATTTTGCAGCCCATTAATTCACTTGTCAAAGAACCTCCCATTATCCTTTCACTGCCAATGAAATAGTTCTTGTTAGGCAGTGAAAATGGATCTATGTCCCAAGCATTTTAACAAGTGATTATAAGATACAGTGCACTATTGTGTAGCTCCTATGTCTTTCCACCTCATCGTAGACATATCAACTGACATTTCTCCAGAAATATTTTACTTAAGCAATGCTTAATGTATTTTCAACTACTTTGCTAAAAAGGTACTAACTTATGGCTCTTTGTTTTAGAGTTGAGTAATTACTTGTTTTCATTTAAAGCATTCAGTCACTAGCCATTATGTATTTTAATGTGACTTAGCCTTTAACATCAAATATAAACATTTCAAACTTGTCGTCATTGTTGAAATAGTTAGGGCATAACTTCAAAAATAAAACCCAAGAGAGTACAAACTTATTTTCAGCAAATACTATTTGTTGAATGACTTAATACAGCTTAACCTACAGTTATGATGACACATGCGGTATAAGCATCATGTTCTAAATATATAATTGTAGTTAAAATATTCATTTACCCTTAGTTTTATCTTTTAAGAGTGTAGTTTAGGTTAATAGGCCTGAACTAATTTTTATGGCAGAACCAAGTTTCAGTTCTCTTACACAGGCACTATTCAAATTATAGATAGCCCAGTATCCCATTGTTGCTATTTGGCAAGTACTAATCTCACAGTCACCTAGGAACTTGCTCTTTCAGTGGAGTGTTGGGTATTTGGGACATAACAATGTAAACTCTTATAACACCATATCCCTTCATTACATTAAATGAAAAAAAAAAAAGTCTTCTTTTAGTTGTTCTTTGTCTAGGTATTTGCACCAGTGTTCTCAAAGGTCCTATTTTTGATGCTAATGATTAAAGGTTGATACAGAGAGAGAGCTTCTGATTCTCAAGATTTAAAAGTGTTATGGTGTCTGTCTTCCAACAGTTTAATGAATGAAGTGGTTCATACATCTCCAACCATTGGAAGCAATGTTGAAGAAATAGTTGTGAAAAATACTCATTTTCTCATGTGGGATATTGGTGGTCAAGAGTCACTACGGTCATCCTGGAACACGTATTACTCAAACACAGAGGTATACTGCAATTATTATGAATTTCAATAAAAGAACCAAAAAGTCAAACCCACAGATCATCTAAACCTACAGTTAGTTACTAAAAAGTTGCTTTTTTGTAAAGAATTTTAAATTTCCAAATAAAATAGAAAAGGCAAGAAGAAAGAATACTAGTAGCTGTTATTATTTGGTAGTTTGCTATGCACAGAACCTCTCCATTCATACTCCCAGTAATGTTTAAATATCTTCATTGCTGGAGAAAACAGACCCTAGCTTAAATTATATAGCTTTCCTCAAGGTTTTACAACTGTAGGAGGCCCTTTTCTGGGGAGGAGTAAATATTTAAGAATTATTTAGTATAAGATTTTGAAGTAATGTCAATTGAACATTTGGAGTTTGGGTTTTAAAAACAAATGGATTTGCAGACCATCCACCAGAGTTCTGTCGCTTAGTTCATTATCTTGCTAGTTTAGACCAACTGTAGAATGTATCTGGAATACCTTTTTCTGTTTCTTACAGGCAAATTTTTTTTTTAATCACAGAGTACTATTAAGAGGTTAATCTTTGAGACTACTGGTGCACAATTGCAATCCATAATTTTTCTTTACAAAGAGGAACACCTAACCAATTAATTTTCTAAAGTGAAACTTCTTAAAATTAGTGGGTTTTTTTTGGAGGTTGGGTAATGTAATGGAAGAGGTGAAGGTATTATGCAAGGGATTTTTTGTGTGTCAGTTACCTTTTTAAACAAAAAACATTCTACATTTCATAGCCAGGCAGAGCCCATCTAAACTGACAGACCAGGTGAAATGTGGGGTAAAACATAAAACAGTGATATTGGCCTTGTAGAGATAACTGAACCTAGAGGATTTTCAGTGAGTTCAAATAGACATTTCTCCAGCCAATAGACTGTGTCTTCTGATATCTGGAGAAAGGCAGAGGGCTCACATACCGAAGAGAACCACTGTGCTCAACAACACATACACAATGCAGACTTCTTTTAGTTGTTCTTTGTCTAGGTATTTGCACCAGTGTTATTGGCCTTGTAGAGATAACTGAACTTAGAGGATTTTCAGTGAGTTGAAATAGACATTTCTCTAGCCAATAGACTATGTCTTCTGATATCTGGAGAAAGGCAGAGGGCTCACATACCGAAGAGAACCACTGTGCTCAACAACACATACACAATGCAGACTTCTGTTATAATACCATATCAAATATTCATTATTTTTGGCAACACTTAATTTTTTTATTTCAAGGGAAGGATATTTTGTTAAGTAAATGTTAAGGTCATAGGTTAGCATAATATTTATTTCTATAGTAAGGTAAATTTCTGAAACTAAAATACATCAGTGAGGGAAGAACAGCATTTAGGATGTAACTGTTTAAACAGCATAGGTATTGGTCCTTTTTTCAAAATTCACAGTGAACTATAGTTATGAAAACAGTAGTTGATCTAATGACTAGATGAGTTGATTCTAGCTGATCTATGTATGTTGTGTTACAAAAGAGTGGGTGCTGAAATTATTGAAACTCTAGAAGACTTAATACTGATTTCAGAAAGAGATACATTATCATTAATGCTATTAGTATGAAGGTCCTTTTTAATAAACTATTTCTGCAAATATTTCAAAATTACTTGTAATTTTTCAAAATTACAAAGAATTCTTCTTACAGCATACCAGTGTAGCACATGGCATTTGCAATCTTAGATTCCTCATAGGACTCTTATCTGTGATGTCACCCTGATGGCTTCATTCACCCATGTCATCTTATTCATTGTTGAAAATGTCTCCGTTGTCATCCCAAATCTGAAATGTCTCCATTATAATACAATAAGTTGTAGTTGTTAAACAATTCCTGACACCTTCCTCTTATTAGAGTTATTTTGCCATATTTTGTCCATATTAATTATGCTATATGTGCTGTTTCTTAACTTCCTCTTCATCAGATGTTGGGATTTAGGATCCCATTCTCCTGTATTTCTTATTTTTCTTATTAAAGATGCTTTTTGTTTTTAATGTGTAAGACTTTTCTTTTTTGCTCCCCAGCCAACTATCCTTTAAAACCCTTTGATCCTCTCCTCGGCATCAGGAGCCTCACTTTGCTTAATAATGTCTGATCATTTTTATAAGTATTTTATTTTGGTGAATTATCTGTTATGTAAACATCCAATATTTATTTTTGTCATTTTAACTTTCTTTACTACACACAATTCCTTCAAAGTCCTTCTATTTTACTGTAAATGGCAACTTGGGTTTTTCCTGTGTCCTAGCTGTCGTACAAATGCAGTGAACATTATAGAGCTTAGAATTTTTTGAGTTGATAGTTTGATGATAGATCCCAAAATTGTGATTATTGTGTCATAAAGCATTTCCATGTTTAGTTTTTTAAGATAAATCCAGATTGCTTTCCAGAATGGCTATTCCTAATTGCGTCAGAATTGCCATTAAGATTTCTCTTTCTCTGCATCTTCTCCGGCCATTTTTGGGGAGATCTACTGTTTTTCAAAACAGCTTTTCCTTTCTTCTCTTTAATTTCACCTGCATCTTTTCTAGCATATTATTAACACCTAGGTTAATAGCACATTTTTTTGTGAGCTTTTATTATTGATAATGCCATATAAAAATGTTTTTTCATTATTACTTGTTTAAATGTGCATTTCCTTTTCTTTCATTCTAGTTCATTTGTGGCTTTCTAATAGGCAAGAGACTTTTAAAAATAAAATACTGATTACTTAATGACTACAGAGGACTTTTAAGTTTTATTATGATTTTCAAGAATAACCTGCATTTTAAAATAAATCTTAGTTACAAAGTATTATGTATTCAAATGTCACTTTTTTAAAAAAAATAATAAACTTGTACATGGTTTTTTATTTGTTGAAGAATTATTTTCTTATTAACATTTGGATTTAATGGCTTGATTTGATTTCATGTGACATAAACATTTTATGATGAGAAAACAGTAGACCATTTTATAATAATGATGATTCCATTTAAAGAAAGTACTACTGTCATTTGAGAGAAGTTTACAGAGAACTGCAACACCCCATTCAATTTTCTTTCTTTTTAATTGTCTTCTAGTTCATCATTCTTGTTGTTGATAGCATTGACAGGGAACGACTAGCTATTACGAAAGAAGAACTATACAGAATGTTGGCTCATGAGGTAAATTTTGAAAGCAAACATGAACGATAGAGTTATTTATGTACTGGTTTTAATTTTCTTACCAATGCCATGTTGGTTATTTCATGTTTAACAAAGTTATATATTGATAAAAGTCTTGAAGTAAAAATTTTCTGTTCTTTTTCAAACTTGGACCCAACACTAATTTGTAGACTACTGTTAATAAAAAGATTTTTCAAAGTTTAAAGTTAACAATACTCATGCCTTAGTACGCTGGATAAATTAAGGTAAGAAAGAGAAAAATACACTCTCCCCACCCCAGCCTTTATAATAACTGAAAATTATTTAGTGAATAATTTGAGATCACTTAATTCTACATAGTTCACATAACAAAGTCAGTAGAACACATTCATGCACCTAGCATTCAAAATAGATATGAAATATGAGACCTTTCTAAGCACATTTCCTTCCATTCTTTCTTCAAAAATCTGAAAGTATTTCCACTGTCCAAAAGTAGTAGTAATTATTTCTATGGACACTTTTACTGCACTTTTAAACCCATTAATTATATTGTATTCCATGTTCATAAAATTTTATGTGGTGGTCGTCATACATTCTAGCCATGTTAGTAAGTATACCTTGAGTTCATTCCTTTGCAGAACTACATGTAGTTCTTGAAATTAAATCAGCCACACTTGGTTTATGTTCCTGTTGGTGAGCGTTATGGTTATTTCTAATATTCTGATAGTTTAAACAATGGCTGCAGTGAACATTAATCAGTGAGCTTAGGTTATATAAAGATTGATAAGTAATAATTATTGCCCAGCCTTCACCCTCAGTAGTCTCCTTTAAATTTTGGAGAAATTGTAGATTTTGGCTACATATTACCACACTTGCCTAATAGAATATTATTTACATGGTTTTAAATCTGTACTTAAATTCAGGTTTATTTTATTTTTAGCTTGATCCTTGGTCCAACAATAGAAAAACAACTAGTTTATGTTAGTTAAACTTTGTTAGAGTAAATCATAAAATCATGGTTCTTAGAGATAATTTATACTTCAATGAAGTTTTTAGTTATTTGTATTTAACTGTTTTAAAGTAAAGGAATTTCATTATAACTGTCCAGAAGGGCATAGCTTACCCTCCTGTTTCATTTGAATTATAATATTATACTTATTAGGAATATTTCATATTGATTGCAGGATTTACGGAAGGCTGCAGTCCTTATTTTTGCAAATAAACAGGATATGAAAGGGTGTATGACAGCAGCTGAAATCTCTAAATACCTCACCCTTAGTTCAATTAAGGATCATCCATGGCACATTCAGTCCTGCTGTGCTTTAACAGGAGAAGGGTAAGTGCTAATGAAGAAAGGTATGATTTTATGGTTTCTTCTTTTTTAGGTCAACTTGTTTTCTTCTTTGATCCTACTTCCCCCCAACCCCCTTTTTTTAAGATTTATTTATTTACCCATACAAGAACAGGGGTATAGGCCAGAGTTGCTGGGGGTGAGATATTTCACCAGAGACGGTGGGGAGCAGAACAGGAAGATACACTGAAATACACTGCTGAGGGGAGTAGTGGGCAGGTCAGGAGAGGTCTGCCACGGCATGTGGTTCACCTCCCTGGCCAAGGATTGAACTTGTGCTTCAGTGGCTGCAGAGAACTTGATAGTACCATGCTTTAACCCATTGTGCCACCAGTGAGGGTCCTCCCTTTTTTTCTTAAAAATTGTTTTTATAATGTGTCTCAGACTTACAAAGTTGAAATAATTTTAGTCATTACTATTAAATTGCAGTTTAACAAAATTACAATTTTTTTATAAATTTCCTTATAAAGGGAATGATTTACCCAAATAAGGCATAACAAACTTCTGCATTCTTTCACAATCCAAAATTTTAGTTGCTCATTCTGGTGCTTTTGTATACTCATGAGGGGAACTGTAATATTGACTGAATTAAAGAGAATACTTCCAAGAAATTTCCCATTTTCTATAAGAGCTTACTTAAGCCAAAGTGCCCAGTTTTCCACGATAGTATATTTCTTTATTATCAGGAGTCCTTTTAAGAGTCATAATTATATGCACACACACAAAAATATTTGAAACAAAGGCCAGTTTACTGTATTCTTTCTTTCCTAAGAACTTGAGTTTGGTGTAATAGACCAGTGAGAACCCTATTTGTTATACGCATGTCACCCTGTTTATTTCCAAGATGGTCTCCTCAAATCTTAATCAAAGTTTCTTAGTTTTTCTCATATTAGAAATAGCTTATGTAATAGCTATATGTAGACTTTTTTCTTTATACTTTTAAGACTGGCCGTAAGCTTTTCATTCTTTAGAATTTAGGAGAACAAAGTGAAGTTCTAATTATCTTTTCTTACAGTGCTTTCAGTTAATCATTTATAAGGGAAGGTTATTTGTAGACTGTATGGCAAAACCACCAAACTCTGAAGATGAAACTGAAAACAATTCTCTACATCACTCATCTGAGTAAAATCATTTTAGTTCTTAATCTTCCACTTAGAAAGTCCACATAGTATACTATTAACTGAATATTGTCACTTAAATGTATAAGTAATTATTGTAATACTAGTTAAGACTTAATAAGTAAGCCCTAGTGGTACAGGACTTAAAGACCCAGTGTGCTATCAAGCTGTCTCCAGCCACAAGTATGAGTTCAATCCCAGGTCAGGGAGCTAACATATACATGGCGTAGAAGACCTCTCCTGTTTCACCCGCTGCTCCCCATAGCAGTGTATCTCAATATTTCTGTTTGTTTTGCTCCCCCTCTGTCTCTGATGGATCCTCTCACCCTCCCTCCCCACACCTCTGGCCTACACTGCAGTTCATGTATGCATAACTAAATTAAGTATGCTTTTGATTTATAAGTATAAAGTTTTTCATTTTATAAATATTTCTGTTTTGTATTTCAGGTTATGCCAAGGTCTAGAGTGGATGACCTCCCGGATTGGTGTGAGATAACTTTTTTGCTCGAAAGAGACTACTCTATTTATTCTGTGACATGAACATTTTTTCCTAGACCTTGGGCTGCTAAGGCAGCAGCATGCTTAATTTATAACAACACAAACCTCTATGAGCAACACTTGAATCAAGTGCAGCTGAACTGGAACACAAAAGATTTTTTCTTAACTTTTTTTTAAGGCACTAATCTTCAGTTGGATGAACATAATGTATAACTATGTTTTCAGTAACAGAATTCTTCTGACTGCTTATTCTAATTATTCAGTGACTGCCTTGTAAGAAATGTCTGTCATATGTTTAATGTTTTCTGAAGTATTGTAATAACTTTAAAGACCAGTGTATTTTATTTCTTGATCACCCCCTGTTCACACCAGATAATGAATTGCCTGTTTTGACTGAGTATAGTGGAAATCATCAGGTATTGTCGGTGAATTTACCCAGTGTAGATTTGCTTACTCTCTAAACCACTTCTAGGAAAAAAAAAAAAATCGGCCTAGAAGATTAAATATCATGAGAACTGCCTTTAAGTGAGTTAACTTCCTCCACATATTAAAAGTTATGAAATAATTTTACATTAGTGCTTGCATGGAATTTAAGTAGGCTGTTTATGTAAAGAAATTAAATTCACTTTTCGGCCTATAATTTGAGAGTATTTTTGGCTAAAAACTAATCAAAGTGAAGTATTTGAAAGCTCAGCTTTTATGGTGAATATTTTAGATAAGTATGATTTTAAGAATGTCATAATGTTTTGTGAAGCTATCAAGCATTATTAAAATATACCAGCACTAAATTTAAAACAAGACACTGGTATATATTTTACTATTGATTGTTAACAACTATTTTCAGCAAAAAACAAATATTCCTTTTTGTGGGGGACATTACATATGCTTTGGGCAGTAGGTAAAGCATAAACAGGTCATTCCTTAAAATTTGAAATTGTGTCCATAATACATTTCTACCACCAGCAGTGTATTACTTAAAAACCAGGACTTCCTTTAAGTCTTCTTAAGGTTTTAGTGTAATAGGCTTGATAACAATTGCCATCATTATATTTGTGTCTCATGCTAAATCTTTTGCTGAATTATAGGAAACTGAATTTATTTTTTAGAATATTACTGTAAGACTCAATTAAATAGTAACAATTTATAAATTTTAAAGAAAGAAAAAAGCTCATACTCCATCAAAAATTTATTTATTGGATAGCATTAAAAAGTTTTCAAGGCAGTTGAAACAATAAATAGTAAATACCTTAAGAGGGAAGGAGGTATTACAGTTTTGATCCTCTTTACTTCAAGTGTGTGATATTTATTATAACGAAAGGGATAAGACGCATACTTAGAAAGTAGTACTTCATTTTTACAGTATTTTTTTTCCTTTGGGTCAAAAGTAGAATAAAGTATTCAGGAGAGTATCATAATACCTGTTAAAAATTGGTATTTATGATATTTTTATTGTGTTTTGAATTTTGCTTAGTTTTCAGGTATATTTGATTTATGTAGTCTAATTAATTTAGTTGAATGTGGTAACATTTTTCTGATTTCTGTTTAGTGGTAGCACAGCCTAAAATTGGGGGGAAAAAAAGGCCAGAGGAAACTTTCTGACCTTGAGAACTAGTTTTTTATTAACTTCGTTCTGAACCTTTATCTTAGTGGTTCTGCACCAGGAAAAGGGTATATTTTTTTCTTTTTCATAGATTCCATAATCAAGAACATGAAAGAAAAGTAGATATGAATGAATATGAATGTTCTGTAGTGTGTATTTGGTGACTGAAGTTAGGAGGAATTTGGAAAATACCATTTTACCTAAAGCACACTTTGCTGAAATTTCTGTCTTGATTATATAGTTTAGCCATAAATACAAAACATAGTTCTCTTAACTGTGTTCTGGGGGAAAAGCATGTTTAATTACTCCTCTATTCATTCTTATTATGAAGTTTATCTTCTTATATCTTAAGATCGGCTGGCTCAATTTTCTTCTATCAAATAAATAGTTATTTTTCATAATACCACATCAGCATTATATCGAAAGTGTTTTTAATCGTTAATTGTATTTGTCAAACTATTAGTATAGAATCAAGTTTGGTATTTAATTTTTAAAGTAACTTTTATTTTATAAACTTTTTAAAAAAAATCTTAATTTGGGGTTAGAAATCATTTATATTGGTTGTATTTTGAAGATGAAATTGGCATCTACATGGAGTTTGTACCAACAATTGGGAAAAGTTTAATTAGAAAGTTCATGTAGGACTTTTTAAAAGTATTTTACAGGTTCTCTTTGGGTATTTCCTGTTACTATAATATGAAAACTGATTATCCTTTACTCCAAGAGAATGCTTTTGATCTACTACTAAAGCACTGATTCTGAAACTCATTGTAAATCAGCCAACTAACTGTAAAATATCACCTGATGAAAAATGTAAACTTGTGATTAGTGCCTTTATTCATGTTTTGAAATAAGTTTTTGATTTTGTACTGTGCCTGTTCTTTAGAATCATATTAGCAGATGATTAACATTTAAATACTTCAAGTTTCACTATCCTTCAACCCCTTTATTGCCTAGCAGTTTCTATTAATTAGTGAAAAACAATGGACCCACCCACATTACTTCTGGGTTTATTATTTTACATTTACTGTGTAATTTGAGGTTAAAGAAATTAAATTTTGGCAATTTTTTCAATATATTACAACTGTAATGTAACTGCTACCCTTGGAAAGTTCAGTAAGGCATTTTTCTTAATTTCAAACATAGAATTCTTTATATTTAAACCCATTACTCTTATTGAAACCCAATCAAGAAATTATAGAATTAACAGGTTCTTTTATATGATAACATACTGCATATTTTGTATTATTAGTGTAATTTAATTTCTTAAAATTTGAAATTATATATAATCTATTGAAAAACTATTGACATGATTTTTGCTTTTAAGTTCTATGTTAGTATGCTTAAAGATGTGATTTTATTATCTATTCATTAGAGGAAAGATAGTAAGTTCTAATTTCATTGTTAAAAATAATGTTTTATTACATACCAGCTTTATATTCATAGCCATTTTTGGTTAAGCATAAATTTCATTATAGCAAAAAGAAAGTAATTATTTTCCTATGGAAACAATGAGTTTGGATTATATAGGCAGCATTATAAACAATATTCTCTAAAGAGTATGGAGAGTAACAAACCAAATGAAATTTTAAAGAAAACAAGAGCTTTACTTTTTTCAAAAATCTTTTTGGTGTAGTATCTTAGAATCCATTATAAGCTGAATTGTTTCTAACTCGTACTCTTACTGCATAACTAAAAACCTTATCAGTAGGAAAAAATGCGCTGGTATTACCTACAAATGTATAAATCCCTTTGATATTTAACTTCAAGGACTAATTCTATGAATCTAATCTATGGCTTTGAATCCATTTCTGTTCTAGACAATAGTTTATGTATTGTCAAGATACAGTCACTTCAATGCAGTGTGGCATCTTGTATCTAGTAGAATATTGTGCTAGCTAAAGAAGTGTCTTTGAATCTTTACTTGGCCAGTGTTTATCCAGTTATCCTAGGCAGTTACTGTACATGACCTTCTATTGTTTTTGCCATATTGAGGAATTTCAGTAAGCTAGAGTTTAGCATGTTTTGGGGTTTTAAAATCTTGACTCCTTATGTACACTTATTAAAATTGAAAAACAAAAATACTAAGAAAAGACATATAATACAAAATTAAATTCACTGTTTTTATTTTAAGAGTCCCGTCTCCACTATCATTTCACTTAACACATGAAATCAATACAAGGAGGTATCATTTAGTTATTGCTGTTTAGTGTAAACTAAGCTAATAGCTAATGACAATGCAAATGAGAAAATAAGCCATATTAATAAGAAAATTATATTAAGCTGCTCATAAAACTCCATTGTGTGTTGTAAATACTGTCTCCTAGAGAATACCTTGCTTATTTCCCTGGCTTTTGCTAATTAGATGATAGTTTGTTTAGAATTTGCTTTCAATGCCACCCCAAATTCCAGTTGTTTACCTTTTTAGTATTGAAAGGATAAAATACAGTTAGGAAGTCAATATTTTACAAATATCTGTATAAACCTGAAAGTAATTTATATTTAAGATTAGTTTTTAAAAAAATTTTATCTTTATTCAGCATTATCATGAGCACTGAAATCTAAAAGTCAGGTTCCCAAAAAGTATTTTTTAAGAGTTCTAGGTGGCCAAAGCTAAGTAGAAACCATCAAAAATATATTTTCAACTACTCCTTTAAATTTGAAGTAGGAAAAATAGGTGTTCGACAGAATTCAAATCAACTTTACTTGTAAATGGTTTGGGGAAATGTGAATTTGAAGGTTTTGAGGTATACGTAGAAATAAATCCTAGAATACTTGAAGATAAACATGGGGTAGAACAGTCTTCAACAGGATAATAAGTGATAGAAAAAAAATTACCTAAAACCAGTTTTTTATAGTAGACCTGGATGGCCTATTTTAATGTGGCCAAAGGACTAAAGACTAAGCAGGTTTTCAGAAGTTAGAAATGTAGTCACAGACATCTTTTGCATTTTTTAAAAATCACTAGTGTCTACATTTTCTCCTAAAAATGAAGATGTAGTGAAATGTACTGTGCATGTTTTTTGAATAAAAATCCATTCTTGAAGAATGGGAATGTTCTTTTGCATAAACTTATACAATTTTAATTGAAAAATTACCTCATTTTCAGCCCATAAGGTGCTTTACTCAAGTTTGTGGGATGTGGTACCACCCCATAAAAACCCCCATCACCCAAACTGAATTTGAAATATGCAAAAATCACAGCTAAGGGATAGCATTCTGTGGAGATTTTGTTTAGTTTTATTATTGTTTACCACCAGCAGGGCTAACGTCATGTAGCAGAGCCACAAATTGTCTTCATTAAAGCACAGTCAGTAATTGCATTAACATCAAATAAGGAAAGTAAAAATCCTAAACTTTAACTATGTCATACTGTGAATATATTTCCATTGTTGTTGATAAGATAGCAAATGACTATCAGTTGATCTTGGTTTTGTAATATTTACTTACATATTTTGGCCCTATTACTAAAAAGTATCATCATTTTAATCTTAGATTTTTCCCTCAGGAAATGAAGGGACTTTACAGCCCTTATTTTGTTCTCTTGGAGTAAACTGTTCAGTATAGTTATGAAAACTTTTCATTTCGGTTTTTAAATGTTTAGTTGCTGTCTCTTTAAAGGTGAAAATGACGGTTATGATTTTCTTCAATTATGTAGTAATGAATTTTATTTTACTCATCTACTGCACAGAGCATGGTCTTAAAAAACTTAAAATTAAAAGCAGTTACAGCCTTGCTCTTGCATGGATTCTAATCAGAATATAATGATTATAATTACACATTGCCATCTTAACATTAATTGGTGCTTTAGAGCATTTAAGAGGAAACAGCAGGCCCTACATAGTATGTTTTCAGAATGTAAAACTACTTCATGTCTATATTTGCATTTATGTTTATATCTTAAAGTTTAAATACAAACTTCAGACTTTGTACAAAAACTGTAACAATGCCTTAGCTAAACAGTTTAGTCAACTAGAAGATGGTGTAAATAAGGCCAAAACTGTAATTCAGCCTCTGTAAGGTCCCTGGTATTACACAGAGGGGAAAACTTACCCTTTGTGCCACAAACTGCTGCTAATCTCAACCAAGCAACTGCAATGTGTGCTGTTGATCCAATACATAAGCATCAATAATGAAAATTTAAAAGTAAACAAATTACTTAATGTATTCACATCACTTCTTGAAATGGTTGAGAATGTTTTCTAGTGGTGGGATTGTTTCAAAAACATGGTTTAAATTTTTTAATAGCTTCATTATACTGTCACAGTGCTTTTATATATTATACATTAAGTTTATGTTGCTGGTTCTTGTAATTTTTTTATTTCTGCAATTATGTTATAATGAGTTGTTTGCATGCCTACTTACCCAAGTTAACAGGATGCTGTTTGCTCTGGAATGTTCATCTTTTAGACAGGTTTTGGCTCTTTTGCAATCATGGTGCAATACAGTGTAACACCTATTTGTTTTCAGTCAACAGTTTTATTTTTGTCATAATAAATAATTACTTTTTCAATAAGAAGTGAACCCAGTGTTTTCTTTTTAAAGATGAAATCTGTTGGAATAGTCTTTGTTGCATGTGATAGAATCCCACCTAAGGTAACAGGGAATTACAGGTGTTCATGAGCCTCAAGTTCAGAGTCAAGTGGACTAGTCTGGAACCAGACACCGAGGAACACTGAAGAGAAACCAGACAATTGTCTTTTTCTTGCTGAAATTGAGATTAAACAGCTATATTATTCTCAAATCCTAGAGCACAAAAGACATTATCTCACTTCTCTTTGAGTCTTGATTTTACAAATAGAGCTTGAAAGTTACCAACCAAAATGGTCCAACCTGAGCATGGTCAGATGTGACTGACCTTGATCTGAGCCTTAAGCATGCTTGCCTCCACAGATAGGAGGAGCTCACCCACATTGAAAAACTGAGTAACCTGAAAAACAAAATTTCATACTGTTAGCGGGCTGCATAAGAACAGTGGACGCAGACTCTCAGTGTGAAAAACCTTTAATAGAATTGGTGCATAGAGAGGAGAAAAGACAGAATATTCTTTTAAAAGCTCCGAGATTACCCATTCTGTGGCAGGAAAATGCCCAGCTGATTGGGGTTGGCCTAAACCTGCCTTGCTGAAGCCATCAAAGCATCTTCTGATAGGGAATCGGAAGAAGGGGCAAAAGAGGCCAGGCAAGTCTGGGAATAAAGGAGCAAAATCAAAATTTGAGATTTTGTCCACCATTGTTAGCTTCCCCATGTGTCTCGCCCACTCGTCTCTGAAGTATCTGTCTCCTCCTTCCCAGCAGTACCAAGGTACAAATTTTGAAAGAGCAGAGTTTGGGGATCTGCTCAGTGTGGAAGCTTTCATTGGGAGCTCACAATTGCAAAGT